TGGTTGGAGAGAGAGGACTTGGAGGAGACGCGTCGTTCTCGGACGCGGACTTCTTCAGAGCGCTCTTGAGCGGACGCGTGTTGCGGTGTGGGGGCACGTGGAGGTTCGAGTTCAGATCGAGGTCGCGTACTGCGTGGGTCGACGCGTCGCTCTGGTTGGACAAAAGACGGGGACGTGAGCGAGGACGCAGATGCGGCTGGACGTGGTGAGGGTCGTTCTCGTCGGCGGCACCTTCAAGTTCGCGGAAGTCGCGCTTCGGACGGACGGGGACGCGAGGGTGCAGTGGCTGCGGGTGCGAGATGAGTGGGCGTGGGCGCGGAAGTGGTTCTGGTGGAGCCTTGGGCTTCGGAGCAATGAAGTTGAGAAGCTTGCCGCTCAGCGACGTCCGGCGACGGCGGGTAGGCGGCTCGGAATGGATATGGAGATACGGGATAGAGGGAGCGGCTCAGGAGACTCCATCGTCAGGGTATATGGTAAGAAGAGCAGGAGAGCGTTTCGGACGCGACGGGGGATAATACCCAAGTGCAGAACCAGGATGCAAACGACTGCGACGGGTTGTCCCGTTGTCCGCCGTGAAAGATGGTGGAGAACACAAAACCGCGTTGAAGTGGTTTTATGTTCGAGTGCGGTGGCGAAGCTTACGGTTGTAACTGCCTTTGTTAGGAAGGCGCGGTCCGCCTAACGAATCAGGAGAACAAAAGCGAGAAGAGCAATGACAAAAACAAAGGGCGCGTGACCGCGTGTCACGCTCGAGGTCTTGTCAGGAGAAGTCGCCTTCAAGTGAGCAGTGCACGAAGGGCTAGCGGTACGCACAAGGCTTGGGCAGTGTAAGAGGCAACCAGTTCTTCTGGTTACTCGCACAGACCATGAAAGCTCGAGGCGCCCGCCCGCTGATGAATCCTTACGCCACCTTGCGACAAAAGTCTCCGGTTGCGTTCTATGTAAGAGCAGCTACTTCAATGGTTCGGTCAGCTTGTGAGCAAGATGGAACATCTAATTCACCTTCGTGCAGGGACGCTCACTGTGCATTAGACACGGGAAGGCGTCGTCGGAGGTACGCATACTATGGTGAAAAAATGTCAGAAGGAGAGGGCGGAGGGGATCGTTAAAGGACGTCACCAACCTGGAGCACAGTTACACGGCAGCAACCCCGAGAATTAGAGAGTAACGTACCGTCACAACCGCGAAAGGCGTCTGTTCAGGACGAAATGACACCTCGACGAGGGCAAGCGTGGTCGATTGGTCTGCACACCATGCATAGGATGAGTCAGGAAGTCGCAGGCATGATATGTACATACTCACCGACCTAGTCCGCACGCGCGGAGTCCCTCTACTGACGATCGCATGAGTCGCGGCGTCATTGAGGAGAACGTACACTATCAAGAGTGCAGATACAGCCCACCACCTGATGCTGTCAGTGCGCCGACCTCCGGGCAAGTTCAATCAACGCTTCACGTCACCCTACAAACTGTTAGCTCTTCCCGGTCCTAGCCAGACAGAGCGCGGAAAATACTCTCCTTGTCGGCCGCCCAGTCGTGGCCGAATCCTCGCACAGCACGCTCGAGCTTTCACTCCTGGCTCGCCTCCAAAGTGCTCCCAGTGGACCCTTAGCGCGTCTTCGCGCTCGGCGGCTTGACGGCGTCGACGCAGCATCTGCAGGAGAGTCCCGCTATACTGGTACTAGTACAGCAGCCTGCGCACGAGCTGCAGGTCCGATATCCGGTGGCTCGGTTGCGAGTCCGACTTTGGTGCGCACTGACAGTCAGTTAACCAAAGACGATGCGAGAAAGAGGAAGGGGCAGAGCAGGATGCGGGGCTAAGGATGCTCAGAACGTACGGTGAAGTCTAGTCGTCTGCAACTTAGCGAGGACGGAGGTACATCGATACGCACGAGGCGAGGCCTGCAAGAGCTCATGCCGTTGGCTTCTGTGAGTCGCTGACGCATCTTCTGCGCACGCCTGTGAAGAAGGGCTGATACGGACAGCCCATGAGCGAGCGAGCACTTGGATCACGCTCTCCAGTGTGTAGACGCACCAACGGCTTCGCACCTTGCGAGCGATCTTCCTCAATCGGTAACAGCGCAGTTCTTCGCACACTTGCGATCTCCCACCTTGGCGGCCTGCTGAAGCAGGGAGCCTACGTGGGTCTGTGTTCTGAGGCGAACGAGCGGCCACTGGACGCGAACACATGCGGGTATGCCTGCACGTCCCGGGGACCGGACCGAATGCGTTGGTCCAACGGACATATGGATGACAGACACTCTCCTATAAGTTGCAACCTCGCGTGCTGCGTAGCGACGTCGGAAAGTCCGGCGAGACTAGAGTGCGGCTTTAAGCTCCCATGGAGATGATCGCCCGCGACAGCGTGCTGAGGGGAGAAAGGAAGGCGCGCTGGTCGGTTCGCGACATGGGAAGGCGGATAGGAAATGCGTAGTCATACGCTCGACCAGAAGAGGAGCGTAAGTCTCCTCACAGCTAACGTTGCAGCCAGAATCTACAGAGCACGTCATTTGACGCAGCAGAGCCGTTGCGAGAGCCCGAGGGAGGGAGGACAGCCAACGCACCTTGCGACACGGGATCCCCGGGACCACCATCCTTGTTATATATCCCTGGTGCATCATGATCAATTGCATCTCGGACCCGGAGCCCCAAAACAAACCTACACATCAGTTACCGGCGAGTGTACGGGCATACAGTTGGGCATCCCGGCCACGCTCGAGAACGAGCCAAAAGTACTTGGAGCGGGAAGCGCGAGGTCAACGAACACTAATTTTCACGGGAGGCGTAACACAGTTCGTGCTGCTGAGTCCAGGCTCTTCCAAGAACTGAGACCGAGGACGGAGAGATTCGAACAGAGTGATGGTACCGGAGCAAGAGCAGGAGGCGCTCTCGTGGAATTGTGTCGGTGGCAGACAGTCGGAAGCTTGTCTGTCCCCCTCGTTCTCCATACTCAATGCTCCTCTCGCGACGGTCCTCTCGTCTCCTTCCCCATTCTCCAGCCTTGCTCAGGGGAATGCCGTCCATCTACGTCCTGCCTATCGACCCTGCCGCGCCCTCTGCGGCAGCCGTCCCAGTCGATGCCACGAAACTCTGGAAGTTGACTCCGGCCGCGTCCAAGCCTCCCAAGACCGGCACGACGCGCCTCTTCTACGGCGACAGCATACATAACTGCGCTCGCGTCACTCGGAGACAAAGCTGGCGGGAAGAAGGGAGAGGAGCGGAGAGAGGTCGTCCGGAAAGCGGTAGCAGGAGGAATCGACGGACGTCGGCCCCGACTCGCTCTCTCTCTCTTCATCTCGCTCTCCCTTCTCCTTCTCCACTCTCTCGACCGCCAAACAGCTACAGCAGACACAGCACAAGTACGATGGCGATAGGCGCGAGCAAGCCGGGGAACAATCAACTCGGTTCGGGGTCATAGGAAGCGTCGAGAGGTACCGTGCACGGCACGCACTGCAGAAGTGTGTCACGTCAAGCTGCAGGTAGAAGAGCTCCGAGTAGGGTGAGTATGTACCGTACTTATGCTTTTGATGCGCTCCTCCGTCTTGTCTCGGGATCGCTCTCCTCTATGCTGATTTCGTATCTGTCCCAGCGAGTGTGCCGTCTTGATGCGGACGCAGTACATCTCATCGACACGGCTCTATGATCGAAGCGGGGAGGAAGATGGATCGAGCTTGCAGCCAAAGCCCTACAGGATAACTCGGGAGTGTGTCCTCTTGCGCGAAGATAGCTCAGTAGGAGCGTAGCAGGAGGACTCGGTTCCGTCTCGGTAAGTCCCTCCTCTCATCTGTTCGAGTCGTCGTTTCGTACACCCGCCCTTGCGCTCTGCCCCGGAATGCGTCTTGTATGTCAGCCTGCAGAAGATTATTGTCGTCGTGCACGTTGCTCTGGCCCGCGCGTATCGCCCTTGTACTTGACGGGGCGTTCCCTGACGATCTGCCGGAAGATTTATCGACCGCGAGACCCGATTCTGCACCTTCGGCATGAAGCAGTGTAACCCGGAGACTCCTCTTCGCGGAAGCCTTAAGCTTGGTCCTGCGTTGCTCACCGAGGTTGTTCTGAGTCTGAACATGTCATACACAATATGCATCCTGTTTGCGTTTGCACTGTCACTGGCACGCTGCCGACGTCGCTGACAGAGCGCTCCTGCGGCTGGTTGCTCGCCCAGGTGCGGCCTGGCTTAGACAGAAGCCACGGGATGACATGTCCTCGCATCGTCCTCGTGCGCTAGCTGACTGTACTCGAGCACTTCACAGTGTCCTCCGTCGCCATCGGTCACCTGCGCGGCCGCTGCGAGGTGCTGGACGCAAGCCTCGTCGACGAACTCGTGAAGAGAGGTGTTGCTCGGACTGGCAGGAGTGCGAACAGACAGTTCGAGGTCGGCGCATATCTCGAGCACGACGCGTACCAGCGAAATCTACAATGGGGGCGCTCCCGCACTCTGTCTGGCTTGCGCGGGTGTCGTTGCGTCGGCAGCTATCCCGCCGTGGCACGCATGGGAATGAGTTCGTGGTTAGAGGACAACCATCTGCGCCGTATGCAAGCATGTCGTTGGAGTCAAGCACCTAGGAAACTCCTCGCTCTGCTGCACACCACGATCATCCAGTTCTGAAGGACGCAACATCTCGCGTACTAGCGGCTAAGCCAACGAATGCACTCAGTGGCCGGTGCGTTGGAGGCGTCGCAGTGCGTCGGACCACGGTCTCCCGACCTGAGGCCTGATCCAGCTGTGGGCTTGCGCCGTGATGCCGCGTTCGCTCGCGCGATACGCTTACAACTGTCCAGCGTATCCATAACCTGTGGTTCAATCATCCTAGACACGGTGACCTGACGCACGTTGCACATCGGCGGTTGGTCCGTTTCGCCCGCGTTTTGTGCTCGAATCACGGCATCGATCACAGATGCCATGTGCAGTGGGATGGTGCGTGAAGCTTTGAGGCCTGTCGACGACGTCTGTGTTGCCGGAGCGTTCCACAAGTGTGCCTCGGCCGTCCAGGTTCCGTCTCCCGTTTAGCTCAGTGGTAGAGCGCGTCACTAGTATCAGCACCGTTTCACAGTTCTGGGCCTATGACGAGGTCAGTCGTTCAAGTCGGCTAATGGGAAATAGTACAGTAGCGATGGGCCTCTTTTTGTTTCCAATCCAGCCTGTCGACAGTGTGCAGTGCGCACACATTTGACTTGAGGCTTGCTATGCCTTCCGAGCTGAATGAATGACCGAGTGTAGACTACGCTCTTCTGAGTCTTCAGCTTTCCAGATACACTGAGCGTTTGCCATGGGATGGACTCTGCGGGACACGGGGCGAACAAGGCGAGTACGCAGTATCGCGGTACACGAACTTGATTAGAATGGTGGCACAATATAATGTCCTACATGTACGACTTGAGATACGCACGGACTCTGCTGCTGGCCGTGGCAGCAAAGCACGTGTCGGGGACAGCGCTGGAGGTCGTGCGGGACACGTACCTATCCAGTGCGCACCGCGACAGCTGGGGACTCGGGATCGCAGTCGTCGCGCTCCGAACACAGACCCGAACGGCCTCTGTTACGAGCAATACCGTAGATCTGGTCCCCCACACCCGCCCCCTACCGCACCGACCTCCGAATGAACTCGATCAACGCCCTATCCCGACCGCATCAGCACCTCGCACACAACAGCAGAGACGCACAGAGCACAGAGAAACTCACCTCGTCGGCCGCCCCGTCATGCCCTTCTCCTGGTACGCCCCGCTCCCGCTCGCCTCCATGCTCCCCGCGATGTCGATGTGCGCCCACCGGACCCGCGGCGCCTCCTCGCCCTCGGCGGGCTGCACGCCGTCGACGAAGGACTTGAGGAAGAGCGCCGCTGTGCAGCAGCCTGCGCGCGAGCCACCGGTCTGTTGCGAGGTCGGGCTTAGTTCACGAGCTATGGGACGAGGTGGGGGTGTAGAGGACTCACGTTGCAGAGGTCTGCAGGGCCGTTGTAGATCTGCGGCCCGTACTCCTCGTCGAGCGGCATCCGCCAGAAGCGGTCGTGTTCCCGCAGGCCCGCGGCGTGCAGCTCGGTCCACAACGAGTCCGAGTTCTGGTCAAGTGCGTGTCGGCGTCGGTCAGGAGCGTGGACGCAATGAGAGGAGAGGCGGGCGTACCGTGAATACCCCAGAGTAGATCTCTCCGAGGGCGTAGTCCATCGAGCTACACGTAATGGTATCAGAAGACTTCCGAGCAAGGATGAGGGGAAGCGACGTACCCGGTGAGCGTCGCGACGTCGATGAGCGTGTCCGGTTTGAACTCGCTCGAGCCGTAGTAGATCGCGTCTGCGGCGAGCGAAACGATCAGCCGCGAAGATGCAAGAATCACCGGACACACTCACCAGAGAGGATAAGCCGGCCCTCGGCATCCGTGTTGTCAATCTCGATGGACTTGCCGTTCATCGCGTACACACTGTCCTGCCGGGTCAGTACATCGGACGCACGCAGATAGATCGAGGGAGAACTGACGTGTCCCCGGGCTTGTTCGCTGTTGGTCCGGGGAGGTTCTCCGTCAGCGGCGTGAGCACGACGAGGTTGACCCTGTAGAGCAGCCAACGAGATCAGCGTGAACGGCAGAGGGAGAGCGAAAGGGACCCACGGGATTTTGAGTCTGGCGATTGCGAGCGCAGTTGCGCATACGGTCGCGGCACCGCCTGCAAATACATAAGTACGTTGTCTCGACGTGGATAGGAGCCTGCACGGCTCACCCATGTCGCCACGCATCAGGCTCATGCCCTGGGCCATGCACACATATGGTCAGCGCGGTAGGTAGGCAGAGTTGGATGATGAGTACGTACCTTGGAAGGCTTGAGCGAGATGCCTCCCGAGTCGAACGTAACACCCTTGCCGACGAGGACGAGCGGGGTAGCATCAGAAGCTCCACCCTTGTAGTGACTGTGATAGACGAATCGTCAGCGGTCTGGGAATTAGGGAGAAAGGGGAAGGGTGAGGCTGCGAACTTACAGCTCGAGGAACTTGGCTGGTTCTTGTGAGCCTTTGGCGACAGATAGGAACGTGCGCTGCAAACAGTCATGTAGGTCAATCATGAAACCCAGGTGGTATACAGGCAAGCTGCGGCAAGCGTACCATCCCCTTCTGTGCTGCCCATTCTGCAACGTCGCGTGTCAGGTGCGAAGGGCGGGTGAGGTATCGCGAGGTAGAGACGTGCCTGTGTCGCGCACGATGACCTCGACGTTCGCGAGGTCAGCGGCTTCAGCCTTGATGCGCTCCGTGAAGGCCTGCAGACCGACGCGTTAGGAACGCGTTCTCGCGCGTCATATGCTCACAACAAGTCGGGCGTACTGTAGGGGTCATGATGTTCGCGGGGAGCTCCATGAGCTATGAGCAGGGCGAGTGAGCGAGGAGTCGTGTGACGAGGGAGGCGAACGCACCGTGCGCGCGAGGTTCTGAGCTTGCGCATAGACAACACCCGTGTCCCATTCTTGCGAGGGAGAGAGCGACGCGAGCGTGAGCTTCTCGGGGAGGGGCTTCGTGAGGCGAGGGTCGAACGCGGAGGTGGGCTCGGTCTTGAGAGTGAAGTGGTAGAGCGCGAGGTGCGCACCGACAGCTGTTCTAGGGAGTATGTCGTGCGTCGCGTAAAAGGAGAGAGAAAGATGTACCTGCTGCGTGCGGGTCGACGGACGCGTCGACGAGTACTTTGCTGCCCTCTACGCCCTCGCCCAGGTCACGGACCTTCTTCACACCTCCTGCCACCGCCTTCCGGACGACCTCTCTCCGCTCATCTCCCTTCTTCGCGCCAAACTTGTATCCGAGTGATGCGAGCGCGGTGATGTTGTCGCCGTAGAAGAGGTGTGTCGTGCCGGTCTTGGGAGGCTTGCCCGCGGCCGGAGTCGAGTTCCACAGTTTTGCCGCGTTGACAGGAGCTGCCGCCACAGACGGCGCGGAGGGGTCGATAGGCAGGACGTAGATGGACGACATTCTCCTGAGCAAAGCTGGAGAACGAGGAAGACGAGAGAACCGCGAGAGGAGCATTAGAGAACGAGGGGGACAGACAAGCTCCGACTCTCTCACCGACACATTTCTACGAGAGCGCCTACTCAGTCGCCCGCTCTCGCTCCGGTACCACGACTTAGTTCTCCTCTCCTCCTCGGTCTCGCTGCTTGTGAGTCTGACAGACTGAAATTCGACAAGCTCGATGATAGACATACTGACCAAGATGCCATCAGCACTGGTGAGTGTGTCAGCTAGTGCCGCCATTCCTCGTCGGACTCATTGAGTGCTCTTCGTATAGGACTGGTAACAGGCAAGTATTCCGTTTTTCTAGAACGCTCAATGACTCACAGTGAAGACGGGCATATCCCATGGTTCTGCAGCGTATTCCGACGCGGCGCGCACCAAGGGATGTCCAACTCGCTGCGAACCCGGAGGAGACTGCAGCAGCCGTCGTGCTCGCTGTAGGCGGGACCGACTCTGCACGCAGCGTCGTGTGCGAGACCCTGCGACGCCCCCCTAGGCCTCGTCTCTCGTCCAACGCGCTCTCCGGCTCGGACTACGCCTTATGCGCGGCTTTGCAACGTCTGTCTGCAGGTGGGTGTACGCGCCAGCTGCGACTTACTCCTCCTTGCAACTCTCGTTCACACGCACGATCCGTCTTCAGTCCATCTGGTTACACCTGCCCGCCCTGTTTCTCCTCATCTTCAATCAGATCTTCGTCCTCCGGCGCCACAGTGACTTGCGACACCAGAACAATGCAAGGGCATCCCTCGGTCTTCTCTCCCTGCTAACGACCGACAGTACAGCGAGCACGG